GTTTGGAAAGCAGGTGGGAGGCTGCGCCTCTGCAAGCTGATGCCCAGCTTGGGTAGGCTACAGCAGACGTCAGGGTGGATTTGGGGAACACCGAGGCTCATTGCAGGCTGGAGAAGGCTGCGAGCCGGCCCGCAGTCCCACGCACTGGCTGCTGTGAGCTGCCACCCGCTAGACAGAGTGACAGGGGGGAACTGGGCCGAGCAGCCCGATGCATCTCCCAGAGCACAGGCAGCTCGGGGAGGTCAGTGCCGCTGCCCCGGCGAGATGCTGAGGAGGTTTGACAGATGAATTATGGAAATTGCAATGTGCTACCCTGGGAAGCAGCTATCCACCGTGGGAAAGTGGGCGCTTTCCAGTTACCATCATCAGCAACAGTCTCTCCTTGGCCTGACAGCTGAGGCTGTCACCACTGCCTTTCACCTGTGGTATTTCCCAGTACAGCAAGATATAGACTTATCGACTCTTTCGGCAGTCGAGGAGAGAAGACAAGTGATGGGAGAGCCCCCGCAGTGTGCCTGTGCCATGGCAGCAGCTCTCGGGAAGCCCCCAGCCGGTCCAACTCCTCCTGCCTTCCACCTCCAGGAAATCCCTGCCGAGTTTGTGGCTCCCGTTTTCCTCCTCCTGCAGCTTGACACGCGTTATCCCACTGGGGGCTCCTCGCTTCCGCTCAGGAGACAGCAAAGCCTTGTGAATTTTAGTCCATGTAAGCGATACCAGAATCCGGCTGACGTTCCTGGACCCAGCAGAAGAGATGTTCACCCTACAAACATGCCCCGTAGATATGCAGAGAAATGGGAGGGCTCAGGTCATGGCAAGAAGGTTTGGCTGGTTGAGGTTGTGCCTTGGAGTACCTGCACCCGTGGAGCGGCCAGCGCCTAAAGAAACTGGGACCATCGCATGAGAAATAAATAAGAGAAGCAAACCTTGCTGGGGGTGGTTGGAAAAGCCCATGTAACCACCTAAACCCGAGTGGGGCTTTGAAGACAAAGCATCACCAGGGCTTGCACTGTTATCCCAAAGCAGCTGAAGGGTGGGATCGGAGGGGCCATGCTGAGCCAGGCAGGGCAGCACTGCCGGCCACGGCTGGGATCTCCCCGCGGCCTCAGAGCCATCGGCTGCGTCTAACACACTCTCAGCTAAAGAGGAAAGAAAGACCTGAACGCTCAAGGGCTGGCATGTTTCCTGAGCCGGAGAGGAGGGCAGGAGCAGGGCGGGAGGGGAAGAGCTCATCCCCATCTGCAAGCATCCATCACCAGCGAGGATAGACACGTGTATCCCAAGGGAGGACTTCAGGAGCTCCTTTTCACACCCTCTGCACCAGAGCAGGCATTTCACAGCAGAGCCCAGCGCAGGGCTGCCTGGCCAGGGTCGGACACCTTCCACCAAACCTGAAGCAGCCCGGCAAGGTGGAAAACCCTTCCCGATGTCCAACGCGAGCACAGACACCGAGGCCGGACATCCCATCTGCCCTGGATCAAGTCTTCCCCTGGCAGCACCGATGTAACCCCCCAGCTGCTCCCGCCCTGGCTGTGCTCTTGCAGCCCAAGGACAACGTCACCGCAGCACACATTGAGCGAGCGCTGCGAGCAAGGCACTGCCCTGGCCTCGCCACCTCTACCCTCACTGGAGCGCAGCAGGGTCTGCTGGCAGCCCCCCACACGCCCACAATCAAGTGACCAGGAGCCAAAGGGGACAGGGGCGGTGAGGTCCAGCAGGGCACGGCCAGGAGCAGGGCTAGAGACCAGCAGCATCCTTCAGGGCAAGACTAGCATCCCCAGCTGAGCTTAAATAACCTCCTGGGCCCATGGGTGGGGGTGTGGGTCTCAGGTGAGGCTGCTCAGGGCCATCAAGGGCTAGTAGTGCCCATGGGAAGATGGCAATTTGGCCCTGCAGCTGCCCAGATGTGTCTTTAGTGGTTGCATGGCAATGCCCAGCTGGGCTGTACTGGGGGTGCCACAGCGGTCGCGGCCGAGCTTGGTGCAGGCTGTGCGTTGGCGGTGGCCCACAGCGCTGAGCACTGAGGTGGGGTCCGGTATGGCCCTATGCATGGCAGAAATCATGAATTGCTCTTGGCCTAACTCCGTCCACGTTGGGGCTTCTCCCCCTTGCACCAGGGAGTCACCTCTGTGCCCAGGGGATCCCTGCTCCTGGGAGCCCTTTCCTGAAGGTCTGAGGACCTGACACCAAAATCACCCTCTCAAAGGCTTGGAAATGACCCGAAATATCAGCACGAGCAGGAGCAGCCCTGGGCATAACTGAGCATCCCTTTGCTGGGGCTCGGGCCAAGCTGCCAGTGCTCAGGATTTGTGTGCAGCCTCTTGGTAGGTGTGAGCAAATGCACCTGCGAGGACAGAAATCAGGTTGGTGTCGCGTGTAGCCCATCCCCACCCAAAGCGTTTTGGTCCCCTGAGTCGGGACAGGCCTTGAGATCGTGGGTTTTAGGTCAGAAGTTGGGTTTTCAACCCAGAAGTCGGAGGTTTGGTGCCGCTGGTGCACGAGGGATGCTGTTACAGCAGGTTGAGATGGCACTTGTCGCGGGAGGGGTTGGCAGGGGTTTCTAATCCCTGTGTTCCCGTTAGCAGCCATTGACTGGGGAGGTTAAAAAGCAGCTTCTCCTGTGGCTCGGCCAAAGTTGCCTGTCCTGGCTACCCTAGCCTAAAAATGTGTGCCTAACTCCTCCTTGGTTTCTTCTGCTGCAAGCTCTGAGTCTTGTTAGGCCTTTTTTGGGGGGGAGATTAAAGGGATCTTTCTTCTCCAGGGATGCTCTCCCATGGCATGGTCTCAAATGCTGTTACCAGACCACATACCCACCTTCTGCCCCTCTTCAAGTCTGTCCCTGATGGGAAGAGTTTCAGACCTCGAATCCTTTTTTTCTTCATTCCCCTCTGGGGTCCCCACGGGTGATGGAGGTGCAGGTGGCCCTGATTCCTCCCGGGCCCCCTACGCAGGGACAAAAAGCCCCGGGTGCCGGTGGCCGTGTCCCAGGCGGATGCTGAGAATGGCTCTTTGTTCCCTGTTTCTAATTGCTGGGCCAAAGCAGCTCGTTAACCGCTCTGCCCCGCGCCCTCCCGTCCCTGCTGCCGCCACGCGGGGGGAAATCCCCCGCGGGGATGTGCCAGGGCTCAGCCTCTGAGTCTGGATTTTGGGGTGACACATAAAACCGGCTCAAAGCGAGCTTGGGGTGAAGCTGCCAGCGTCGCTCATCTCTTTACGCAGCCCGGGAGGGGGTTCAGGGGGTGCCCAGAAAGGGGGGTTGTACGTAGCCAGAGCAAGACGTCCATCAGTAGGTACCCAGAGCCTCCCCTGCAAACTCCGTCACAGTTTTCTCAGCCGAAAAATAACCAGCTGGCAGAAGCCTCTTGGTTGTTTTGGGAGCCAGGGACGGTACCAGCCCCGCCATCCACGTGCAGTGACTTTGGGAAGTGCCGGATGACACGCGGTTTGCTCTGAGCCCGAAGCTTCGCGTGACCCTAAGGAGGGTTCAGGGCTGGGGTCCTTCCCACGGCACCCCGATTGCCCCGGGGCAGAGCAGAGCCCAGCCATTCACCCCCGGTACGTACAGATCTGGGAGCACAATCAGCCCTTTGGGAAGCTCGATATTAATGATTTAGAAACAATTTTTGGACTCTTTCATGGAGGGAGCTTGCATTTGCATTTGAAAACTCCGGAGGAGCTGGCGGTGCTGGCGGGGGGACGGGAGCACTGGCCGGGTGCTATCAATAGGAAACTGTTCTGTCTAACGCTGCCGGGGCCAAAAAATGTGAACTCTGCAGATTTCTGGCTCCGTTCATGGTCAGAATTGCTGGCTCCGTTGTCGGTACCCGGCTGCTCCGCTCCCAGCTATTAATGGCTCTGCTCGGAAGCTGGTTTTCCTTCACTGCCAAAGCAGAGAGGGGTTTTGTGAAAGATGGGGCAGATGAGGGGTGCCCAGGGTGTGAAACGGGGGAGCCTCAGCTCACTGTATTCGGGATCTGGGAAGGCTGTTCGTGCTGTCCGGTCCTTATCAGCCCGGGATCCAATCCGCGGTGATTTCGATGCTAAAGCCATCTGTTTGCCTTTGCACTGGGAGTGTAGCTGAGGCCTGGTGCTCTCGTGTCACGTAAGACCCCCTTGTGCAAGCCTGCGGGGTCACCGCCTGCTTTGTGCCTGCCCATGTCCCGGTCCCGGGCTGCAGCGCCCCAGGAGACACCGCCGTGGTTAATAAATGCTCCTTTTTTTTTTTTTTTTTTCCTTTCTCAGCCTATTTCACACCACTTGCCCTTCACGCCAACGGGGTAACCTGTCCCCAGCGCCGCCCCCCCTCCTACCCCACTGTGCCCGTCCTCCGTCCTTCCTCACCAGCTCCCACGGGTGCTCTCGCTGGAGATGAGGCGGTTGGGTACGGGCCTCTCCCTACATCCCCTCCCTGAGCCCCCCGGTTCAGGGGGGGGACGGCGGCGGAGCAGGGGCCACGCAGGGATGCTGCGGAGAGCAGGGGCGAGCTGGTCGCGGCAGCTTGCCTCGGTGTAGTGCGTGCACCAATAAAACCCCGGAGAGCTTTGCACTGAGCTGGAAATAATGGCATTACAAGCGCTTGCTCGCTGCTGGCCGCTGTTTGGGTGGGGTGAGGCTTTTCGGGGCCGGCTGAAGGGCCGCAGCACGTGGGGGTTTGCTCCTGGTTTGAGCGCAGCTCCGGGCAGGTAAGTGGGAAAGGCTCCCCGGGCGCGGTGGCTTGTCAGCGGAGCGCAAGGGTGAGGACAGGGCCCGGCGAGGTGGTCCTCACCTCTGTCCTGGTGCCATGCCCGTGTGCTCACCAGCATCTGGAGGTTTGCACCCACGGAGCATCCCCTGCTTGGAAAAGCCCTGCGGCCTCCCTATCCCGGTGTGGAAAGGATGAGTCCCCTGTGCAGAGAGCAGAGGGAACGGGGGGAAAAACTAGGCAAATGGCAACGAGCTGTGTATTTTCTTTTTATTCTTTCTTTCTCCTTTGCCCAGGAGAGGCCTGAGGGCTCGCCGGCAGCATGCCGCTGGTGAAGAGGAATATCGAGCCCCGGCACCTGTGCCGGGGGGCTCTTCCCGAGGGGGTGACGAGTGAGCTGGAGTGTGTCACCAACAGCACGCTGGCTGCCATCATCAAGCAGCTGGGCAGCCTCAGTAAGTCAGGCTCAGCGACCCCGGCATGGGACGGGGAGGGGACAGTGGGATGCCGGTGGGATGCTGGTGGGACGCCACGGTCGCTTGCTCTGGTTCCAATCGCAGAGAAACGGGGGCTGTGCGAGAGCTGTGCGGGCTGCAGCCACCCCTAATTCAGTGGGAATTATCCAGCTAATAAAGAAAAGGAGGGTGCTCAGGGCCAAGCCCAAAGTGGGGACTTGGTGACATTTTTAAGACCCGTTTTCTTCCCGTGGCCGGTCTGTGCGGTGGGGGGCGGAAAGCCTTCACGAGCCCCTTGCTTCTCGACTTGGCCAGAAATAGGCAGGTCAGGCGAAGATTAAAAAACCCCAACCTATTCTTTTAATCTTAGAGCTTTATGTGAAAGAGAGGTCTGTATAAAAGGTCTAAATCCTTGGCTGTCCTCCTGACCTGGGACTGATTTCAGCAGAAAAGGGGAGGACGAGAGCATTGCACATGCCAGTGTGAAGGTTTAATAGGGGCAACCTATTTCACTGCTGAATATCGACTTAAAATAGAGAGAGAAGAGCAGGCTCTTCAGGGTTCCCCCTCTTTCCCCCCCTCCAGAACTAGATTCCTCTCTAAAATAGAATCATAGAATCATAGAATCATTAAGGTTGGAAGAGACCTCCAAGATCATTGAGTCCAACCGTCAACCCAACACCACCATGCCCACTAAACCATGTCCCTAAATACTCCCAGAAAAATAAACCCTGTATTTAGGGAGCTGCTGGAAGCGCAGCGGCTCGCATGAACAGCACCCATGGGTGCTCAGGCCATGGCTACCTCGTCCAGGGGAAAAGGAAATCAAACACAAACGGCCGAGTCGGGTGACAGGCCAAGCAGATATCAAAAGCGCCTTGATCTCGGGAGCCGTTTGATACGTGGTTTTGGAGGAAACCCCGAGGAGCTGGGGTGCTGGGCTGGGTGCTGGGGCGGGCTGGGTGCTGTAGCCTGCGGGTGTCAGCAATGCCCTGCCAGGCGCCCCGCTCAGACCTGTGATAATAACAGCCCTAATAAAGAGCTATCGTAGCGATGCGCTGAGCGCTGCAGGACAATAACTGCTAAAGTGAAAAAATTTGCGGCTTCTCCCCGCTGTAGCACTCTCCCCGCTGCCCGGTTCTCCGTTTGCCACCTTCGGGGCTGGGTTTCTGCGGATGATGCTGCATGGCCGGGGGTGATGGCAGTTTTTTGGCTGCATCTGCCCTGGTAGATCCAAAGGCTTTTTAGGATGAGCACCGCCATGGTTTGGTGCCTCCCGCGGGTACCGCTCTTGCTGGAAAGGATGCTCGTGCATGGAGAAGGGCAGGTGGCTTGTGCTCCCCTCCCTCCGTGCAGCGCTTTGCCAGGTCTGGGAGAGGATGAAGCTCAGCTCCCCAAAAAAACCAAGGCTGGGGAGAGAGCCCTGTGGAGCCAGCGGGGAGGTATGCGGTCCAGGGGTCCAGGGCTGGGAGAGGGCTGCCTGCCTGCCACCGCTGCCCGTGACAGGCGCCTGTTGCCCTCTGCCAGGCAGGCACGCGGAGGACATCTTCGGCGAGCTGTTCAACGAAGCCAACAGTTTCTACATGCGGATGAACTCGCTGCAGGAGAGGGTGGACCTGCTGGTCATCAAGGTGACGCAGCTGGACTCCACTGTGGAGGAAGGTGAGGGGCTGGGGCTATTTCGGGGTGACGGCCAGGTGCCAGCGGGTGGGACATGCGTGCTCGGGGTCGGACCACCCACCATGCCTGGTTTGGGGGGCTGAGGCCACTCCTGCATCCCCTCTCCTTCCTGTGTTCCCAGTTTCGCTGCAGGACATCAACATGCGGAAAGCCTTCAAGAGCTCCACGGTGCAGAACCAGCAGGTCGTGTCTCGCAACTCCATCCCCAACCCGGTGATGGAGATGTACCAGCGCTGCGACAAGCCCCCGCCGCTCAACATCCTCACGCCCTACAGGTAGGGTAGCTGGTGCATCGCTCCCTGGGGGGACCGAAGGGGTCCTGGGGGG